TTTTTTTTTCCCTTCTGTAAATTATCTTATGACATTTATATAAGTTTATCATGTTTAAAAAGCTAGAGTCGTCTTGATGACAACTTTGTTCACGTGCATTGAAAAGCTATTTTGTTTACTATGGATAAAGAACATCAAAAAGATTCCTATTTTCAAATAGCTTAAAATCCAAAGTCAAATACAGAATCTTGAATCTGACATTGGGAGCATAAAACCAATACACAAATAGCAACAATCCATAACTAGGGGACTGCTACAGGGTAAAACAACATTGGAGCAGGCAAGTTCACAAGTAGTAAGAAGACACCTGGTGGGGTGGGCAGCAAAAGAAGTTCAATGGATTAGACAAAGGGGAATGGGAACAGGAAAGACAGTAGAATGAATCTGACCTAACCTTCCTATATTCATCATATGAACACACCACCAGTGAAACTCCACATCATATACACCTACAAGAATAGGATCCTAATTAGAAGTCAAAATATACTCTACAGTCATGTATATATAAACAGAAAAAAAGAAAGGACATCTTCTTACCTATCAATAATTTAATTTTGTGGTTCTGGGGATGAACCCAGGGCCTCACACATGCTAAGCAAGCCTATATCATGGAGCTATGCCCCCAGCCTTGTTTTGTTTTGTTCTGAGACAGGATCTCCCTTACTTGCCCCAGCTGGCCTTGAACTTGTGATCCTCCTGCCTTAGTCTTTAAATAGCTGAAACTGCAATTGTGCACCACCACACCTGGCTCTATGAACAATTTTGTATCACTTTATTGCCCCAGTAAGAGGTGAGCTTCTTATTTGCCTACACTGCATATCATTCTGCCATCCATACTGCATGCAATATAAAATCTAGCATTGAAACAGGTGTTCAGTGAGTGTCTGCAGAATGGTCCACAAGAGGGTGGCAGTCCCTAGAACTAGACCTTAAAGGATGAGAAACATTCTAAGATAAAGGATAAAACGTTCTTTTCTGATAAGAGAACATTTTAATACAGTATCTGACTGTGATGTTTTCACTGGGGAAAATAAAAGCTTTTCATGTAACCCACTAATTTGATTTCAATAATTATGCAAGCATAATTGGAATGGCATCACAACCATTCAGTTAATAAAGGGTACAGGCATGAGGAAGACGAAATATAAATAAAACCAAGCAGTCAATGTCTGACAGCCAATCAACAGGCACATAGCTAATAAGAACG